TATATATATATATATATATATATATATATATATATATATATATATATATATATATATATATATATATATATAGTCCTATCCCACGAACGCTAATAAATAGGATCACGTGCGTTGCACGAGAGTGCTGGGTCGCGTATTATCAACGCTCGACGCCGTCGGCTCCGACATTCCTCTCCCGAAGCGACTTCATCTCGTCCAAACCCTATAAATTTTCTTGATCTTGATCGAGAGAGAGAGAGGCGAAGAAGGGGAGGAGGAGGAGGGAGGAGATGGAGGGCTGGGATCCGAGCACGAAGTCGGCTTTGACGCAGATCCCGCTGCTGTCGACGCGGGCGGGCCCGCGAGACGGGGCGGCGTGGACGCAGCGGCTGAAGGAGGAGTACCGCGCCCTGATCGCCTACACCACCATGAACAAGTCCCACGACAACGACTGGTTCCGCATCTCGGCCGCCAACCCCGAGGGCACCCGCTGGTCCGGCACCTGCTGGTACGTCCACAACCTCCGCCGTTACGAGTTCGCTCTCCAGTTCGACATCCCCGTCACATACCCCGCCACCGCCCCCGAGATCGAGCTCCCCCAGCTCGACGGAAAGACCCACAAGATGTACAGGGGAGGCAAGATCTGCCTCACCGTTCACTTCAAGCCCCTTTGGGCCAAGAACTGGTAAAGAACTTGATTTACCCTCCCTTCTTCTCCCTCCTGATCGCGATTCATCGGTACCTCCTATTTCTTTTGGCTTCGTGAATGATCTATTTGTTGATTCACAGTCCTAGGTTTGGAATTGCGCATGCCCTTTGCCTGGGCCTCGCGCCGTGGCTCGCCGCCGAGGTGCCGATTCTTGTGGACTCCGGCGTGCTGAAGCACAAAGATGACGAGTCCACCTCAGCCGAATCTTGATGGTTTGCTTCTTGATCGTTATTACCATAGAAACATTAATAACCTGAAGCATTTTAGAACAAATTGTGACATCTATCTACAGATTGTGATATATCTGACTGGCTACCAGCAAATTGATTTAGAATGTCTTATGCTGATCATAATCCTTTTGTGATTTCTTGGTGGTGAAGTGTTTAATAAATTTAATGCTTTGTGATAAATTATTATTATTTTTCAGTGAATGCCTTCTGAAACAAGTTATATCATTCTTCTTTTTTAAGGTCTATTATAATTGTTTTTCCATAGGCATACTATAATCTTCAAGTACCATGATCAAACCATTTTGATCAAGAACCTCGATAACATCTATTACCCTATAAGATGTATTAACTTTATATATAAAGAAACACTCGACAAAAGATGGTATTGTTAGCAAAGACAATAAGAGAAAGATCAAAAAGAAAATATGAATAATGATATGGTTCATCAATCATAAGAGAGTTATCACTGAAATGCTTCGAGTCTGATAGACTTGATTGCTAATGGATTATGATTAATACGGAAATCTAATAATGATATGAGTGGTATGTAGACAAAAACAAAGCTAAATGGTCTGTTCTATAAGACCATTGTGATTCCACAAGTTTGAAGAGTTGGGTGAGATAGGTCAAATTTTGGCTAGGTGGATGCGATCCTATTCTTGATGACTTAAATTAAACATAATTGAGGCTTGATCTCATACCGAACACACCGAAGGGATAGCTTTTAATCAAACACTCTAATGGTGATAGTTTAATCTCTGTGGCAAGTATATGCCAAAGGACAATGTCAGGATTGTGAAGTAAATGTTATGCAGGAAGATCTTTACGAGGTGATTTATAAGCTGCAGGTCGATAGTGATGCGGCTATAACAAATCAATATGTACAAAGATATTTTTAATCTAATGAGAATGTTTGATACAACCAATTTTTCTCATGTATATGCGGTCAACTGGATGGTCAGCTTTGCTATGACTTTTAAGTCCATTTTTTGTGGCACAGATTGATACTTAAAGCTCTTTCTGATTGTCTATTCTGAAGTAAGGGGAGGATTTTGTTATAGATATTTGAATTACCATAGTTTTAATTTTTAGAATTCAAACTATATTATTTTTCTCAAAAATTAGAACTATGTTGATACAAAGTCCTATAACAAAATCCTCCTGTGATACGAGAGAAGACAATCCCTTTACATCTATAATCTCAAAAATATTGTTGTTCACTTTGTTTGCCTCTCAATGTACATGAGATAAGTTGATTATATAAAATATTCTTATCAGGTCAAAAATGTCTTTATACACGTTATAATTTCATGTGATTGACTACTCTTACAACATAAGCCGCATCACTCTTTGCATGCAGCTTAGAAATCATTTCCGCAATAGCAACTTGGAGACCTTCCCCCATATCAATTGCTTCACAGTGCTTATTGTTGCTCTCTGGCACATATTTGCTACCATTGATTAAACAATCACCATTAGCTCTCTGGCACATATTTGCCACCAAAGATTAAACAATCACCATTAGAGTTTCTGATTAAATGCCTTACTCCTTGACCATTAGAGTTTCTGATTAAATGCCTTACTCCTTGACCATTAGAGTTTCTGATTAAATGCCTTACTCCTTGACCATTAGAGTTTCTGATTAAATGCCTTACTCCTTGACCATTAGAGTTTCTGATTGAATGCCTTACTCCTTGACCAT